TCCGGCTGCACCCTGTACATGGTGCTCAGCACCCTTCTGGCTGCACCCTGTGCATGGGAACGTTCTCATGAGGTCAACCCCCAAAGCTGGACCAGGTGGCGCCCAAGGGGACGTTCTCATGAGGTCAACCCCCAAAGCTGGACCAGGTGACGCCCAAGGGGACGTTCTCATGAGGTCAACCCCCAAAGCTGGACCAGGTGACGCCCAAGGGGACGTTCTCATGAGGTCAACCCCCAAAGCTGGACCAGGTGACGCCCAAGGGGACGTTCTCATGAGGTCAACCCCCAAAGCTGGACCAGGTGACGCCCAAGGGGACGTTCTCATGAGGTCAACCCCCAAAGCTGGACCAGGTGACGCCCAAGGGGACGTTCTCATGAGGTCAACCCCCAAAGCTGGACCAGGTGACGCCCAAGGGGACGTTCTCATGAGGTCAACCCCCAAAGCTGGACCAGGTGACGCCCAAGGGGACGTTCTCATGAGGTCAACCCCCAAAGCTGGACCAGGTGACGCCCAAGGGGACGTTCTCATGAGGTCAACCCCCAAAGCTGGACCAGGTGACGCCCAAGGGGACGTTCTCATGAGGTCAACCCCCAAAGCTGGACCAGGTGACGCCCAAGGGGACGTTCTCATGAGGTCAACCCCCAAAGCTGGACCAGGTGACGCCCAAGGGGATGTTCTCATGAGGTCAACCCTCAAGCTTGTCACCCCTCAAAACCACGTCGGCGCAGGGGGTCGTGGTGGGGTTTCATCCACCGTGGGGTGGAGCTCAGGACACCACCCTTGAGTTTTGAGGGACGAAACCCAGGAGGGATGGTGTCCTGATGGCACCCGCATGGAGCCAACATCTCCTCCGGGTTTGGGTGGGCTACTTGGTCAACCCAAGATGCTTTGTAGCTAAGAAAGCTTTTTTTCCCTTGAGGCATTGGAGAGCTGAGGACCCTTCGTGGTGACCTCCAAGAGCTTCTCCTCGAGCCAGGCAGCGGTGTCTTCTCCTCTGGGGATGGAGGAGGAAAGTAGATCAGGCTTGGAACTGCCTGTTTCTATCAGCTCACGTCTCCAGTCCAACGTCTCTTGGGTCTCCATCTTGTCCTGTGCTCCATCCCCAGCCCAAGGTGGGACAAGCCCATGGAGAACGCTTGGCTGGAGGCCCCCGGAGATGCTGCTGCCCTCCCTGCCTGCCCCAGAGCAACGCCTGTATCCCTGCCCTCTGTTTGATGGACATCCCACCCCCCAGGGATGTCCTCCTGGCCTTCATCATCCTCCTTGGGGCTGATAGCTGGAAGGACTGAAGAGGAGGAGGATTGCCAGAGCCTGGAGCTGGGTGAGGCGGCAGCTGGGGAACCACCACGAGATGATGCAGACCAGCTTCTTGCATGGCCAGGGCATCTTTGAGGACGTCCCTCAGGGGAGGACATACTCAACGCTGAGTGAACCTCCAGCTGGAGGTACAGCCTGATCCATCACCTCACCGAGGAGTGACCTGCCACCTGCCCCAAGTGCTGAAGGAGCTTCAGCGATGGCTCCAACCTCATGTCCCACCAGAAGATCCATCACGGTGAGAGACCCTATAGATTCCCCAACTGTGGGAAGGGCTTCACCATGAGCTTGAAGTCCATCAAACACCAGTAGACCCACATGGAGGAGACTCCATCCCTACAAGTTCTCCATGTGCAGGAAGAGCTACAAGGAGCTGAAGTCCCACCAGAACCACCATGTGGAGTAGAAGGTGGTGGTAACTCTCCCCAGGAAGGTGACCCTACCCTTGCCCCGAGTGCTGGAGGAGCTTCAACGATGGCTCCAACCTCATGTCCCACCAGAGGATCCTTCATGGTGAGAGACCCTATAAGATGCCCCAACTGCGGGAAGGGCTTCACCATGAGCTCAAAGTCCATCAAATACCAGTAGACCCACATGGAGGAGACTCCATCCCTACAAGTTCTCCATGTGCAGGAAGAGCTACAGGGAGCTGAAGTCCCACCAGAACCACCACGTGGAGTAGAAGGTGGTGGTAACTCTCCCCATGTAGGTGGACATCCATGGTAGGTTGTGACTTTTGGGGTCTCCAGCCCCATAACTCATGCTCAGGTTGCAATGGGCAGTCAAGTTCTGCCCTCATCTTCCTCTCTTTCACCCCCCATGATCCTCCAGCAATAAAATAAACCTTGGATAGTCCAGAGACATCATTAATAATTCTTAACGTTCATTGGCGCAGGAAAACGAAGTATTTCTGCGATGGAAAAACCCTAAATCCGGATTTTTCGAAGCTGAAAAACCAACTGGGAGGACTTTTCTTCTCCTTCACCTCCATCCTGGAACGCTGGAAACTCATTAACGGGTTGAATTAATCAGATTTAGGTTTCAATCCCAGCCTTTGGAAGATTTTTTTCCGAGTGGGAACATCGTTTAAGATGGATGAAATCAGATCCTTGCTCCCATCTCTTGTCGGGACATTCAACTTAGGACCAAAATCAAATTTTTGGGGGTTTTTTTTGGTGACATCTAACTTAGCTTCTCGTTAGCTGCGTCTCAAGAACCCCGTCCTTCGGCAGAAGGTCCTTACCCGGGGTCCCACATTTCTCAAAGGCCGCGGTCACCCGGGAACGAGGCCAAATGGCGGCGGGTTCCTTCCTTCGTTAAAAAAAAAGGAAAAACCAACCCGTTAACATCGCGTTTCCACGAGTTTTTCTCAACTCCGGAATTTTTTCTCGTTTTTGTTTTTTTAACCGTTTATTTTCATTCTCAGGGTCAGGGCGTGGGTGAGAATCGGCAAATTCAGTTATTTATGGAAAAAGATACCGCCTTCCTTTGTGGCTAAGCTATATTTTATTTTATTTT